ATATAAAAACAAGTTTGTGTGTGTGTGCTTGTGTGTGTGTGTGTTTGTGTTTACAATCCTGTGTATCTCTATGAAATTAATACAAAACACTCCAATTTAATCCTAATTATTAGTCCAAAACTTGAAACAGGAAAGCAGAGGGACTTACTTGCTGATGTATTCAGCATTGAGCACCTTGTTGCACACCTTACACTTGAAGCATCCCAAGTGCCAGTGCTTGTCCAGTGCTACCAGAGACTGTTCATTCTTAAACTCCTTCCCACAGCCGCAGCAGTCTGCACATAAGGAGACAGTTGCAGTTTAAATGGTAAAAAAAAAACAATGAATGGACTGAACTTATAGAGCACTTTATCAAGTCCCTCCAGACCCCAAAATGTTTTACACTTACAGACATTCGCCCATGCACACACACATTCACACATTAAAGGGATAAAAATTTGGAGGTTTGATTCTGGCATGCTTTCTGTTGCACTGACTGTGGACAGCCTGTATGGGTGCAGGGCTGTTGGCAGGGAGGGGCTGGGAACACTTCTGGCAGATACACTCCTTCCCATTAAATGTCACCCGATCACCGGCGGGGAAAGGCTGTCTGCAAACAAACAAATAAACAAACACAAGCAAACAAATGTGTCAGACGATGGATTTGACTGTAAGTTGTCAGGAGCATTATTATATTGTATTGGGGGGATGGAGGTATTTGTATATATGACCCATGTGTTGACCAGTCTCCTCCTACTCACCGCAACTTCCAGAAAAAGTTTGAGATTGTGAGAGTTTTGCAAGAMTTAGAAGTGTTTGACAACTGGAGAGCTACTAAACTCGGAGAGAGATTACACTTTCTTCTCTCAACCCCATCAAATGTTCTCTAGGATTGATTTTTCTCATCTCTAAGAACAGTACTGGATCGAGTGAGATAGTGTTCAATTAGCACATGTGCAATCTCCAATCACTCTTCTGTAAGTGTATGTATTAGCCCCCCTATAATGACCCTTTTTCTCGCCACTGGAGGACAAACCCCTCTTTACTGAGCTATCCATATTTTATTGACTACATTACGGATCAGTTAAATATCTTTATGGAAACTAATAAGACACCAGATGTCAACCCCTCATGGTTATGGGCGACAGCTAAAGCTTATATTAAGGGAAGTATCACATCTTATACCACAGCTCAAATAAAAGCACAATTAAAGAACAATTACAGTTAGAGAGAACAGTACAACAAGACAGAGCTGCAAGTTAAAAATACACCTTCTAGAGCAGGGSTGCCCAATTAGTCCCTTGCGGGCGACTCGTCACCCACCAGCTGATTCCCAGGTGCCCGCGCAGCACAACCTTGCTTCGGCKCCTCTAGCGCCGGCTTTGAGCATCGCATCTTGGAGTGGCTGTCCTGTTTGAAAGCTCTGGTTCTGCTCTACAAGGCGAAAGTTGAATTAAGTCCCTGCAACGTTCCCCYGCGGRGAWATAAGCGAAAATCCTCCAAAATTATGCACCRTCGGACCTCCCGCCAGGGTGGGTTTAGCCCCCCTCCCAGGCTAGGAACAYCAGATCCCGGCATGGCTGGTCRTGTTTTAAAGCCCTGGCTCTCCCCCGCAAGGGGAAAGTTGAGTGGAGTCCCTGCGACGTYCCCCCGCGGAGATATGTGAAAAACCTCCAAAATTATGCACCATCGGATCTCCGCCAGGGTGGTTTTAGCCACCCTCCCCGAGCTAGGAGCATCGGATCCCGGACTRGCTAGTCGGGTTTTAAAGCTCTGGTTCTGCGCTACAAGCTGATACTTGAATGGAGTCTCTGTGACGTTGCCCCGCGGAGCTATAAGCAAATTACGCACGACTTAGTGCATTTTACGTCCATTTTTGGGAGGAAATTTCAACCTTCGTTTGCTTCTCCCGCGGGCTCTGAGCATCAGATCCAGGAGAGATGACTTTGGAAAGCTGCGGCCCTGGGACGTTCCCCCATGGAGCTATTAACCAACGACCAGCCAAAAAAGGTGCTTTGGCGGGCGATGTAGTACTCAATTTACTCCAGAGCCTCTAGCGCCGGCTCTGAGCGTCAGATCCGGGTGGGAGATGGCTCATTTTAATGTTCTAGATCTTCGCTACAACCTGGAGGTGGTACAAGTTCCTGGGACGTTCCCCCATGGAGCTATTAACCAACGACCAGCCAAAAAAGGTGCTTTGGCGGGCGATGTAGTACT